CCGTGTGCCGCGTTTGCCACATTCCCAGCAGAATAGGATGGAGGGCTGCAGTATGCAGTTGGGAATTGGGTATTTGGTTTCAAAAGAAATGAGTTTTGCTGACACACCGCTATTTGTGGAGAACCGTGGCTAGAGCCATGGTTCGTTAGCTCTGTGTTTATCAGTTAGATTATTGTCTCCCGCCAGCGTGGATGCGCTGACCCTCCGCCGTTTGTGACGAGCCATGGCTAGAACCATGGTTCGTGGTCATGTGATGGGCTTAGAACTAAAAATAATGAAAATATTGGCTATTTAATAGAAGGAACGTGTGAGTCGCTTCTGGGGACGCTACTCTACTTATACCCGTACTCAGTCAGCATATACATTTTTGACCATATAATTTTTAGAACTTTAGAATTAAAAAAAAAAATTTTACATGTTACATTTTTTTGCTACATCTGTTATCTACATCTACATGTATTATGTATATTCTACATCTAACATGTAGATTATACATGTACCAATTAGTTGCGTGTCCTCCTATGGTCACCATCGCCACTATCCGGCCGTTGCTTACGTGTAGAGAGCTTCACCACACCGGCGACAGGCTGCGCGTGGGTTGGTGATGGGGGTCGTGATCATGTGATGGGCTACGTCGGGATTCGCCGTACTGTTTGGATGAACTGGTGGTCTCCCTGGTGTGTCTGTCGATTCCCAATGGGGACTCAGAAATGGCGGCTGGTGCGAGCCGCAATTCCTCTGCTCTGAAGCCTTGCGTATCTTGGAGTATTCCGCGGGGGTGCGAAAGTGGTCGGGATGGTCCGCTCTTGGATGCTCTCGAACTCAGTGGCCAACATTGTGAGCTGTGCTAAGCTTTGGAGTTCGTGTCGCCGCACATACATCTGGTATGCTGGGAGGGCGTTGTCGTAGATCCTGTTCAACTCCTTGGCGGCGTCGTACCCGGCGTGGTGCATGAGTAGCCGTATCTCGATGAGGTAATCTTTGAACAATTCTCCTCTCGCTTGCTTGCGGGCCCAGATTCGGTCGAGTGCGAGTGGATCGTCCTGTCCGTCGAACCGGATTCCCCATTTCCGAATCTGTTCCGCGATGTGGGCGGTGGAAGCGTCCATGGCTGGCACGATCCTCTGTGTGGGCGAGCGGCTGGTCTCCGTAACGGGAGGTCTGGGCAAATCGGCTGACGTTACGATGCGTGGTGGGCAGGGTGTACTGTATTCGGCCGCGGTGGGGACTTGTAACCCGGCTTTTGGGTCTGTTTTCCGCTGGTCAGATGGCCCAGGAGTGGTGGGCATAGGTGACTTGGAGCGTCCTGCTGGTTTGGCGTATTGACGTTCGAGGTCTGCTAGTCGGACCCAGGCATCCTGCGATAGTGTCCCGGCGACTAGTGCGGCGAATCTCTTTCATCGGTCCTCGACGGTTTCTTCGTTGCCAAATCCGAATTCGTCGGCCAGGGCTTCCAGCTCGTGCTGCCAGAGTTTGTAGATCCAGCCGGTGGTGACTCCTGGATTGGTATGGTGTCACTCCGGGTAAAATTCGTCGGGTTGACCGTCTTCGTGGGCTTCCATGGTGTGTTCTGCGGTTAGTAGCACTGACTTACGTTTTATTTGTGGTATTTCTGCTTGTGGTTGCTTATTGTTGGACGAGTATTAGTCCTTGCTAGCCTAGTTTTCTTTCAGTGGCCGTGGGTCTTTACTCCACAAAGCTCCGTATTAAGGTGGTAGTTTGTCTTAAAGTCACCAAAAAGTCCCTGCTCGTGCGCCACTTGTGAGGCTCTATTTCAGGCTGAGGTACGCATCAGTCTGTCCCGGGTCCGCTACAACAAAATTTGTAGATTGTAGGTGACTTCAGGTGTCGGGCTGGCTTGAAAGTGCAGTAGGAAAGCGAGAAATGATGATGCGAGAGTGTTTGTCTATTTGTTTCTTCGTTTTATTCTGTATTATTCATTCACTTGTAGTAGTGGCTTGTAGTGGTATGGTGCGCTGGTGGACTGCGGACTGCCTTGGCCGAGCTTGGCCTTTTTAAGCAGCTGGCACCTGGGGTTCTGACCCGGAAATAATTGCTTATTGCTAACTTATGGTTAATTCTTGAATAATAAATGTAGTGTGGATTGGGGTTCGAAGCTTGGTGCTTCGTTGACAGTTTTCGGTATCGGGTCATTGTAGCTTAATATTATTGGGTTGCGACGATTGTGGGTTTTTGCCGAGATTGCATCCCGGAAAGTGCAGTTGGGAATTGGGTATTCGGGTTTCAAAAATAAGTTCTTGCTAACTCTGCATTGCGGACGTTGAGTTTAGGCCAGTAGATCGCTAATTTAGTGCCGGCTTGACTTATTGCGAAATTTTATGCCGGCTTGACTTATTGTGAAATCACGCAAATGATATCTCTTATGTAGGCCGCCGATTTCACAATGTCCCAAGAGGTGGGGTGTTTTAAATTGTTGTGTGGACAAGAATGTGTAGGTTGATCGAGCTTTCTTTATTGTGTGTGTTTTATTGTATTACCGTTTTTGGTGGATACCGGGGTTAAGCCCTGGTTCGGTGGCTCTGTAACTTAATTTGAGTTTCGTTTCCAATCCGTGTGAGTGCACCGACACTTCGCCGTTTGTAACGAGTCATGGGTAGACCCATGGTTCGTTAGTGTTTTTTTTTTTTTTAATTCCTTAACTCATTAATTTTTGTTTTTAAATGGCGCTTTTAGAGAACATTAACTACTAGCTTAATAATTATTAAAGATTAGATAATAATAGATAATAGGTATCGTACGCCGTCAGGATACGTGGGGCGACAGAGGAAGTACCGTGTCCCTGCGGGACGGGACGAAGCATTGCTTCGCAGGGACGATGGTTCCTTCTATGCTGTCTGCCTTCTAAGCCGCTCGCATCTCCTGAGCTCCTTCATCGCGGCGGCAGCAAAGTTGCTTACTGCCGACCATACATTGGCGTCTCCTAACATAGCCGATCATCACGCATAGGTAGCGGATGGCCTCCGTTTTTTGAACCGCCAACTCCAGCCCCATAGACAAAAGCCAGTCTGCTATAATCTGTATTGCCGTGTTGCAGGTTTCTTCTGCCGCTTGCAGATGTTTGGTCACCACTGAAAGGGTCCATCGTCTTCCCTAATGTGTCGATCAGGCATATCGCGCAAAACGAGGAGGGATCCTCTGGCGGCTTACCCGGTTTTGGTAAGAGCACAAGGTGCTGTGTCTTCCATTGTGAGGGAAACAGTCCTTCTTGTAGACACTTCGTGAACGCCGTCGCAAACTCTTGCGGCTTAAAAGAGACTGCTAATTTGACTGCCCTGCTGGGGATTCCATCGGGACCTGGGGCCTTATTAGGCTTCAACCTGCGGGCCGCTGTAATATCCTCGTCTGCCGTTACCGGTTCCACCTCGTATGGATGCTGTAGCGCTTCGTCGTTTTGGGGCAGGTTGTGCGTCCTGGGTGGGAACAACGCCTCTACGATGGCTGAGAGCTGCTGCGGGTCAGAGGGAGCTGCGTTGTTAGTGTGCAGCCGCTTCATCACCATCTTGTAAGCTCTTCCCCATGGGTCGTGCTCTGCAGAGTCGCAGAGTTGCAGGAAGCACTCCCGTTTGCTTATCTTAATGGAGGTCTTCAGTTCCTTCCTGGCAGCGCAGTATGCCATGCGAAGACTCGGTCAGTCGCTGTCGTTCCTTCTGCAAGCCCTCTAATACCTCCTTCTGGCTGACAGGCAGGCGCGCCTGTCATCCGCGATCTGATCGTTCCACCAATAGGTCGGCGACTGCGCTAGCTGGACCGTGAGCTGTGTGTTTACAGATACGATAAAACTGAAAACGCAGTATCGTAGAGAATGACCATATCTACGAGATTGCCGAATCTGAATCAGATCGCATCATAATTATAGCCAGAATGAATTTTCAGTTGCTTCATCCGCCTATTTCAGCCAGAGACCAGCTACTTATTCTCTTTCTCGCTCGCACTGCGTTTTTAGTTTTATCGTATCTTTAAAATTGTGCCTGCCACAGATTTTCGTCCCTTGTGATGGAGGAAGGGGGTGGGGCGAAATTTTGAAATACACCTGTAGCAGTGTGATATCACATGAGTCTGGAAACCTGTTAGATTATACAATAAGATAAGTCTAAATATTGTGTTCGGAACAGACCGGCCTATAATTATAATACATAGCATTAAGTAAATGCCACCGAGCATAATTGTTTCTTGTACTATGTTTTGTTATTTTCTATAGATATGTTAGCTCTCTCGGCTCCGATCACGTCGGGGTCCCCAAAATGTTTAGAGAAGGATACCAAATGTATCACCTATATTTAAAATAAAACGTCACGAACAGATTATTATACAAATATGTATAATAGCTCCACTTAGTAGCTGGGTTAGCCAAAAATTAATTTCTCTACCCACGTAGCGATGTCCGGTATAAGTTGGAATGTCCATCTGCCCTTCGCTGAGCTGGCTCATCGTTCCTGCCATCTGTTTAAGCTCCTTTCCCTCGCTGCCGACTTTATTCGTTTCCGTAGTGCCGGAGGAGATCGATTATGTGGTGCTGCGTCGAAATCTAAGAAGATTTCCTTTGCTTCCTCGGCGAGGTCCGCCACTGCTATTCGTGCTATGACCAAGGCCGCGACATTCGAAATAGTTCGGAAACCGCAGCAGACTTGCCGAGCTCCTAGTCGGTGAGTTACGTCTAGCCCTCTCCTGTAGGACTTTGTCCTCGCCGCCTCTGCCCAGATTGGTGCCGCGTACATCATGACCGATTTGAGGACAGACTCCCCTCGTGTTCAGCATCATGCGCGACAGTGCTCTTCCTAAGTCGGCTGCCTTTTTTCTGACTGCCTGGAGGTGCTCGCGAAATGAGAGGCGAGTGTCCAGCATTACACCGAGATATCGGATTGCTCTTGAGGATAGTATGTCAACTGAGCCTACACGGACGGTCGCTACCTCGACTTTTTTGCGGCTGGATATATGAACCGCCTCCGGCTTTTGCTCAGCCAGTTTAAGGCCCACTGAGTTCAACCACTCCTGGATTGTGGCCGGGCTGACAGCTGGGGCGACAGTGGGAAAGAGGCAGGATCGGCCGTGGTGAAGGGCTTTGCCGCGTTGAGCTTTTTTGCTATGACCTTGTATGCGAGACGCCTGGGGTCATTTTCGGCAGAATCGCAAAGCTCTAGGAAGCACTTCCTCTTGCTTTCTCTGATAGACCTTTTGAGGAATCGGCGTTTCGCGGCGAATTCCTGGGACCTTGTATGGAAGGCAGGCGTTCCCTTCGCGCGTGTGAGGCGCCTCCTAGCACGGATGCATTCGCTGCGAGCTTTGGCGATCACCGTGGTGTACCAGAATACCGGCTCGCGGTGGCGCGGGTGGCTCCTTGTCTGTCTTGTGCTTGCCCTGCGTGCCAATGTTATCGATCGGACGAGTTCGGCAGCACTGGCTTCTGCATCTCCCCGTGGCTCTGTTACGATCAGCTCCTCTAGAACAATCTCTGGCCTGATGGTTTTGGCGTTAAAGACCGTCATTTGCTGGTGGGCTGAGTCTTGCCTGCGGGACTCGATATTGCAGACAATTGCTTTGTGATCACTAGCGGTGTATGCGGTGCTGAGCGTCCACGTTGTACTCTCGAAGAGAGTGCTGCTGCAGAAGGGCAAGCCAATGACTGATCCTGTCCCAGCACGGGAGAACGTGTCCTCTGATCCCGTATTGAGAAGGGTTATCTCTAGTGTGGCAAAGGCTTCTAGGAGGGTGTGACCTCTAGAGTTGGTAAGTCTCCTCAAGTCTCCTGCCAGGATGACATTTGGCCGTTCCCTTGCGTCGTCTGCTACTTTATCGAGTATGGCGCCGAATTCCTGGAGCGACAGTCTTGCTGCAAGGTAGCAGCTGTATAGCCAGAGCTGGCCGACCTTGGCTCGGACATAGCCATTTCCCTTGCGTACCGACTCTGCTTGCTCACCCGAACGCCCGCATGTCCAAATCGCTGCTGTTTTAGTTGTGTCTAGCGTGAAGTGGTGGTCACTGGCTCTGCGGTACGGTTCGGTGAGGAGTGAAACATCCGCTGATTCGTCTCGGACTAACTGAAAGAGTAAAATCTGGGCCGTTTCGCAGTGGTTTAGGTTCAGCTGCAGGATCCTCATTTCGCTATGCGGTGGTTAGGCTCCGGTCTGCTTCTCGGACACCTCTTGCTGCCAGCTATGTGGCTCGCCGCAGCCGGGTCCTGCACAGAGGAAGCATCTAGGGTCATTTGTGCACTCCGCTACTTTGTGGCCCGCTTGCCACACTTGAGGCAGCAGTTGCTGCGGTCGACGTCACTCTTGCACCTGGCTGCGATGTGCCCAAACTCTAGGCATTTGTAGCAGCGCTTCTGTCCTGATCGCTCGACGATCCTGCTCTTGTCCACCCGATCTTGAGTTTTTCAGCCTTAACAAGCCGCTTTGCCAGCGGTCCACCTGGGAACCTCCATATCCCGGCCGTAGGGCCCTAATGCATGCTGTTTCCACTTGATGGTCCACCTGAGCAGAAAATGCCATGGCGACCTCCTCTTTGGTGGCAAGGTCGTCGATGTCGCGGATCTCGATGTAAGTCTCGCTTACCAGTGCCCTGACGCCTGCCAGCGTACAAAGCACTTTTGTCTGGACGTTGATATGCAATGACTGCACCATCAAGTGGCCCATGCGACACCAAGCCGAAGCCTGTTACGCGCGGAACCCAGGCAGAAACGCAGCCCTCCTCCCGTCCAACCGACCGAGGGGCGCTGCCGCATGACGCGCGACGCGTGTTACCGAACCGATCGCGAGCATGCAGGAAAGATAGGTGTTAGACTAAAATTCAAGGTAAATTAGAGCTAAACACAACTCAAAGAGCTAAGCATGCAAAGATAGCTAGCACTTGGCCTATCTCCTCCTTCAGTTGGGCAGTATTCTCCTTCTGCGCGCTGTTTAGCTCAAGCAGGTCTCCTTGTGCTGTGCGGCGTACTCTGCCAACATTTTTGCCAACATCCTCGTCACCATCCTCAGTATGTCGGAGTAGGAGAGGTCTCCTTTTGTGGCAATTATGATTGCGTCATGCCTTTTTCGCCTGGATGGGTAGGCCGTTGTCGCATTGGGTCTCCTTTCTGGACCTTCCGGCGAGTTTAATGGTCGGCGTCTGGGCCTGTGGGTCGCGGTGGAACAAGCCTCTGTATGCGGGGCTTCCTTGGTTTGTGACGATGACTCCGTTAGCCTGCATGGGATCGGGGATGTCTGCTGGTCCATCGTCTCCGGTTTGTGGTCCTTTAGTTTCTACTCCTGCATTCTCACGCAGATGTCCGAGTGTAACTCCTTCAGGTTGGATAGGGATCCTTTTAGCTGGCTGCCGTGACGGGGAGCCGGCCACGTTAAGGATGCCAATCCGTCTATGATCTCGTCCATTTCAGTCAAAAGCGCTTGGAGACTTTTGGTGACCTTCTTCCTCTTGGTCTCTGAAAATTTAGAATAGTTTTTCTAATTAACGAAACCGAAATACTTGGGTGGCGTAAAGATTTATTAAAAGCGGGGACGAAATAATGTAGGTGCGCTCGACCTTATTCAATTTCAACGATTATATTCTAAAATTCATTCCACTTCAGTCTATGCCTAACTAACCTACGGTGGCAAAGCGGGGCGAATTCGCCTTGAGCGAAAGAGCGAGCTTTTATTGCGCTCCCGCCTTGCCCTAACCTACTTACACTAGACTTCAAACAATTCAAAAATAATCTTAACATACAACATTAACTAAGACGACGACATGACGAAACACCGGCCCCGTTGAAGGCCTGAGCGGCTTCAACCCATTGGTAGCGGCGCCAACTTGTGGATTTTTTTTTTTTTTTTTTTATTATTACGGGATTTTATTTATCGAATCTTCCCTATTAGAGACTTACGACAAGTATACAAATCTTAGCCTAATATATTTATTTAATTATTTACACTTAATTACTTAGAGTACGTCCCTAGCTAAGTATTATTGCTGGGTGGGAAGGTCTCTTCGCCGGAGTCGTGTATGGCTAGTGTGCCAAGTTAAAGACTGCGCAAGTCTATTAGGATGGGCTTGAAGCTTGGCCTGGTACTTTGCTTTCACTTTGGCAATTTCATCTTTAACTGATCCTACATTTAAGTCTTTATGGATATTTTCATTCCGTATGTACCATGGTGCCCCAGTGATAGTTCTTAGTATCTTCGATTGAGCTCTCTGGATTCCCATAGCTCGGAGCCGTATGTCCAGATGGGTTTGAGAACTGCATTGTACAAAAGTACTTTGTACTCCAGTTTTAGTGGGGAACGGGTGCTTATTAGCCAATGTAGATTACTAGCTTTAAATTTAAGTAGATTTCTCTTCGCTTCGATGTGCTTACGCCAAGTAAGCCTTCTATCCAGATGAACACCAAGGTATGTTACTTCGGTGGTTTGTGGAATGTTGATATTGTTCAGACATAATGGAGGGCAAGTTTGTCTGTTTAACGTGAAGGTGACATGCTTGCACTTTTGCTCATTTACATGTATCCGCCAGTCTGCTAGCCATTTTTCTAAGGCCACGAGATGAGATGATAAGTGATCCGTGGCCCTTCTTGGGCACTTGGAGCGACTTAATATGGCAGTATCATCAGCAAATGTCGAAGTTGTTGTTAGGCTGTTTGTCGGTAGATCTGCTGTGCTAGCAGATATACACTGATATACAGTGTCGGTCCAAGCACGCTGCCTTGCGGTACACCAGCTTCAATTGGATGATATTCAGAGAGGAAATCTTTGCATCGTACTGCGAAACTTCTTTGCTGTAGGTATGACTCCATTATTCCATGGATGTTCTGTGGAAGTAATATTTTGATTTTGTGGATTAAGCCATCTAACCAAACGCGGTCGAAAGCCTGTGCGACATCCAGAAAAACAGCGGAGCAATACTCCCGTCTTTCAAATGCATTTCGTATCTCAGAGGTTATACGGTTTACTTGTTCAATGGTTCCGTGTTTTTCGCGAAATCCAAATTGGTGAGTCGGGATGGCACCGTTGATGTGTAGGTGTTGTTTGATACGATTCAGGAGCAGCTTTTCAAATATCTTTGATAGGCAAGGCAGTAGGCTGATAGGTCTATATGATGATGGCTTGGACTTGTCTTTTCCGGCTTTATGAATCATGGTGATGACTGATTTCCTCCATTCTTGAGGATAATAGCCCCATTTCATCATGCTGTTGAATATCATAGTAAGGAAATACACTGCACAGCTCGGCAATTCTATGATCATTTTAGGAGAGATGAAATCGTGGCCCGGAGCTTTCTTTTGCTTTGAGATTTGGTCTTTAATGACCCTTGTGACTTCTCCTGTTTGGAATATGATAGGCGGAGTAGCTTCGGGATTGTTGGTTGGTGGGAGCACTAAGCTATTCGTTGCTGGGTGCGGTTTGAAGACGTTTTCTAGATGGACGGCAAATGTATTTGCCTTCTCTTTGTTGCTGCGAGCCCACTCTCCTGTTTGTGTACGCAAAGGTGATTCACTCTCGATTGGTGGGCATACGCCTGATTTTTCTTTCCACAGTGGGAATCGTTTGCTAGTTGGGGAGAGTTGCTCCATATAGGATATTTGAGCTCGGTTTTTTTCATCTTCTAAGGCTCTGCGTAGTAGGTGGTTGGCTATTTTTAGCCGCTCTTTCGATGCAGGTGATCTGTGTGCTTGCCACTCTCGGCGAAGCCTTCTTTTATCGCGTAGCAGCACTTCAATGTGCCTAGAAATACGACTGCTGTTGGAATGTTTATTAGATGCTAATATTGGTGTTGAGTGTTTTGCCGCCAGTGACATTGAGGAAACCAATGCTTCGACTGACCTATCAATGTCATCTTTACAATTAATGTTTGGGCAGCTATCAATATGAGAGCTTATGTACTTCCTGTATTTGAGCCAATCTGTTTTGCTAGAAGTTAGAAAGTGTGGGTGTTCCGAATGCTGTGGATGGTCGTAAAGGTGAAGTAGAATGGGCGAGTGATCCGATGATAGATCTGTTAAGTGATCTACATTAATCTGAGCTTGCAGCACCCTTCGTGTAACTGCAAAATCAATCAAGTCGGGTTGCTTGTTTGGATCTGTGGGCCAATATGTGGGCTTGCCCGGAGAGATAAAGTCAAGCTTATTTCGTGGGGTTATTATAGCGTTATATAGTTGTCTTCCTTTCGGGTTGGTAAGTCTAGATCCCCAATGGGTGTGCTTGGCATTGTAGTCACCAGCTGCTATAAATCGGTAACCTAGTAGGTCGAAGAATGTTACAAATTCTGTTTCGGAAATGCAGAAACGTGGTGGGCAGTATACTGCGGCTAGGTTTAGGTAGCCGCTCTGAATTTCAATATGAATTGCTGTTGCCTGTAGATAAGGTGTAGCAAATGAAGGCAATGGATAATGCCTAATGCGATTCTTGATCAGAACGCCAGTACCTCCATGTGCCTTACCATCGGGATGATTTGTCGCATAGAAGTTATAGCCATCGAGGTGAAAATAGTTTTTATTTGTTAGGTGAGTCTCTGATATGAGCATGGCGTCAATGTCGTGTTGAGCGAGGAACTGTAAGAGCTCGCATTTGTGCTGAGAAATGCCATTTGCATTCCAGAAACATATATTTAGACAGGACATTTAAACAGATTTCTGTTTGATTAGGAGCTCCAGGAGGAGATTTTGGTTGCGCATAAGCTCCTGCATCGTTTGTTGTATTGCTACCATTGTATTTGTTATAGTTACCAGCATTGACTCAATTCCACTAGGCAATTGGGATGGATTAGCAGGGGTATGTTGGGCAGAGATTTCTGGGATCTGATTTGATGCCTGATTCTGCATTATTCCAGCTGTGGTTGGTTGAAGTGTCGGCTTAGAGACTGAGGCGTACGACCCGTTGTTGTAACTTAACGCCTGAGCAAAAGAAACTCCTGGAGTCGTAGTTGATGGTATATATGTTAAGTTTTGTCGGACGACCGGGTTTCGAGCTGCAGTTATTTGTTGGTTTAGGCGATTTTTCAATTGTTTATAGACAGGACAACCTCTATAGTTGGCAGTATGGTTTCCCCCACAGTTGCTACATTTTTTGGCAGATGGGTCCTCCTTATTTACGGGGCAGGCCTCAGTGAGATGAACATCACCACAGGC